GGGGGGAGGGGGGGAGGGTAAGGGGGGATGTAAGATAATAAAATGAGATTTGTAAACTTTTTACATAAGAAGTGACAGGCAATGGTTAGCCTTTTCTAAAGTGAAGAAGTAGCCGCGAGCAGAGAGCCGTGCTCGGAATTTCGTTAGATTAATTCATTAATCTACAGGGTGGCGAAAAGTACACCCAAGGGGAGTAGAGAGGCGGACTCGCGAAGCGTTTTCAGCGAAACGGGCAAAAGGGATACAGGGACCGGTAGGCGGAGAGGCGGAGGGTCGGTACTTGTGGCGAGCGGAGAATATATGGTGAAAATAGCGAAAGAAAGGGGCAATGGGTTGGGATTTCGCGCAGGGCAATTTTTAATTGAATCCACGGATTTTATCGCGTCGCTACGTGAGGGCCAGTCCCCGATCTCGCGCCCCTCTGGAAAAAAATTGCAATTTATTTTCCTTGGGAATTAAAGCGGCCATTACCTCGCGACCCATAGCTATACCAGCTACACACAGCCGTCCAGCCATCCCGACCAGCCAGCCAGCCATCCAGCCAGCCACTCATTGACCCTACATTCGTCCCAGTCCCACCCCCGCAGCTAAAACGAAGGACGCAACGGCAAACCCCGAGCAGTTCGCCGTGGCGATAAAGTTATAACATTAACAGAGGCCGAGGACGCAAGGCGCTCGTATTGCACACGCCTTGCCGGGCAATAGTGGAGAAGCACGGAAGGAGGCAGGAACCTTCGTACGATTTGTCAGCGAAGGATTACACGGTGTTGGGCCGCTCGAACGGGAGAAGCAATAACGACGCGGAGTAAAAACAATAATTTTCCTGCCACCGTTAAAAGTTGCCGTTTCGAGTCGCTTCTTCTGTCCCGACAAGGATCCGTTTCCAAGAGTATCGTTGCCTCGTTACGTCAGCCGGTTACATTTTTTTTTTATTTTCACTCCTCGACGTCTCCGTTACCAACAGCGCCAGTGGCGCCCTCTGTCCCGGTGCTACTTGTTGGATTCATTCGACTCCATTGAAATCCGCAACTCGTATCTACGCTGGCTGCCAGACCTGCCACTAATGTCAATTAGGGGATGGTTTATAATTGAATTATAAGGGAGGCGATGCGCAAAAATCTAAAGGGAGCATAATACCGTCGAGCCGTATACCATCCGTGACTGCACGTTACGTGCACCTGACTGCTCGCTCTATCCCAACTCCGTGCTGACAATTGGGGCCGCACGCATCGGGGTTGCACGGGGAGGCGAGTTGGCGTGTAATACCAGGACAGGTAAGTATACGAGCGTGGTGTACGGAGGAGGACGAGCTTAGTGCATAAACGTGGCTCTCGATACATATGCAAAGCGATTGTGTTTAACAAGTTCTCTGGGAGAATTTCCATTAGTCAGGAATGGGTGGGGATGTGGGGAGACCGTGGAGACGGGAGACATAGCAAGGAGGGTGGGCAGGGCTGGGAGAAGGACGGGGGGAGAGTTGCCAGGACTGAAACCTCATCGAATGATTTCGAATCAACGTGTCTAGTAGGGCGGGTAATTCAATTTGAATATGTATTCAAGCCGAGCAACCCCTTTCGCGCGTGGGGCTAATGAGTTTTTGTCACGGTGCTCATCAGCCCCTTTAACCTTATACAGACCCCAACCCGATCCTCGTCCGCTTTTCGTTTTTCAATCGACGTGAATCCACACGAGTCGAGCCTCTGGCAAGTGTTTGCTTACTTTCTTTTATACTTCTTTTTTGTCTTTTCTTTAACCCTCGCTGCTCTTTTTTTGTTTTCTATCTACGGTCTACGCGTTTGGACCCCAAAGGGCGAAGGGGGTTGATTTTGTACGCTTTCGCAATTTCGTACTCTACGATTTTGCATGTACTACCCTGTTGTACAGGGTGCGTCAACTATACGCTGAAATGAGGACCATTGTCAAGTACCGATCGACCTGCATCCCCACTTGAAGAGTTTGGTTGATGCTCCCTGTAGCTATGTAGCGGCTGATGCAGCACAAGAATTGTGTGTCTGGAACCTGAGCTAAATTTATGCAGATGTATGCTGGGCATATTTTAAATAAATAGGTACTGCAGCCCTGGGACCCTCTTTGAGGGGATTCTGTTTCCTTATGGTTGTAGCTTCTACGTGTGAAAGGGATACGGTGGGGGTGAGAGAAAAAGACACGTGACTATCGTGTGTCACCATCTCGTCCTGGTGATCTGGTGTCGTGAGGCGGTGCCATTTGGTATGACGAATGGGCCGAGGTCGTTTTGCAGTATTATCGGGCGATTCCAGGTAGGCAGGAAGCCACAAGGGTATTTGATTTCTGGAAAGTAAGACGAGGGGGGGGCCCGCCCCTTTTAATAAGAGGGTTGCCGAGCCCTAAATTAAACGAGGGGTGCGCGTCACGTATGAGCATAGATTAGAAGGCAGACGCGGGACTGAAGGTCCTTCCCCCCCTTTTAATCAGTACTTAGCGTTTTAACGTGACTAATTGGTTATTTTGCACTAGCCCCACAGTCAATTCACTCCCGATGAAACTTCACGCGTGAATAACTTATTCGAAATTTTCTGGAATAACACTTTGAACCCGACTACCCGCGCCTTTTCTTAATACGGCCCTGAAATTGTAACTCTGAGAACCGGGCCCAGTAATTTCTCAAGTAAGGGGCGAATCGCACACGTAAGAAATAAAATAGACATAAACGGGATCGAAATTAGAAAATAAAAAAATTTCTGTTAGACGCTCTTTGCTCGGCGGCGTTTACCTCAGTGAACGTTAATCGTATGCGTAAACGCGGAGGTAAAACTTTGCGGGTAGACGAAGAGAAAGACGAGCTGGATAACAGGGGTGGGCTCTTCCAGTTTGCTTCGGAAATAAATCACAAAATCAATTCTGGGACTGAAAGTACGATAAATAAAAGGTGGGACGTTCGAGAGGGATTTCCGGGCGTTGAACAGCAGCAGGAATAAGCAGGAGGAGCCGAAAGAGGAGCAGCGATAGGGACGTCGACGTCGTCTCTGCGCTTCGGCGGCTACCTGAAACAAACGACAGAAGGCAGAGCGAGGAGGCAGGAGCATTCGAGCGAGGGCTGAAACTTCCACGGGGCGATCGCTCGTGATGTTGTCGGCGTAGGTGGTGCTGGTCGCCGGCAGAAAATTTGAAATTCAAAGCACGTCGATAAGAGCGAGCCCGGTAAAAATACACATTAGCAGATTTGAAATTTAGATCGGCCACTATACGAAATTGAGTTCGGTCCCAGAGATCAGCCGGTTGCGTTACGCGGGTAATCCACTTGCTAGGCGTCGCTAACAAATTATCATGTTTTTTATTTCTATCAAACCTTACATATATATATATATATATATATA